AACGAAACTTTCTACGGTTTAGTATGTATTTACAGAAGGCGCATGGTTGTATCTGTTATGTTACGAACGAAACTTTCTACGGTTTAGTATGTATTTACAGAAGGCGCATGGTTGTATCTGTTATGTTACCAACGAAACTTTCCACGGTTTAGTATGTATTTACAGAAGGTGCATGGCTGTATCTGTTATGTAACAAACGAAACTTTCTACGGTTTAGTATGTATTTACGGAAGGCGCATGGTTGTATCTGTTATGTTACGAACGAAACTTTTTACGGTTTAGTATGTATTTACAGAAGGCGCATGGTTGTATCTGTTATGTTACGAACGAAACTTTTTACGGTTTAGTATGTCTATCAAACAGTCTTAATATTTTGGCATTATGACAGAGCTTTATTTTGATTGTTTCCTGCTTGTAAGTATAAGAAACGTCATCAGTAAAACAGACACACATTTTATTTGTAATCTTTTGAACGTACTTTCATATTCTTAAGTTTTGCTTCTAAACTGGATTAGAATTCTGCCACAACCACATGTATAAATATAGTTATTCCTATATTTAGCACATCATTATGTATTTTCAGTATCCACTTGTATTCGTGGGCTTTCATATAAAACAACAAAATGAGCATCTTTCCTGGCAGTTTCGAGAGCCACCAAGTTGCTCTAATTTCTGACCTTCTTGCTCAGTATTACATTCGACCATAGCTTACGTGTTGAATTCATTTATTTGACACTGGTAAAAGATGATTCTGACACAAAAATGTAGATGGATAATAACCTTCGAAGACAACAGTAGCGAATCATTCCATTTAACACTTGTTTTAAATAAATAAGCACTGGTTGTAGATATTTCTGTTATAAACTACCCACTTTTCTTGTATAGTGTACAATAAATAAGCACTGGTTGTAGATATTTCTGTTATAAACTACCCACTTTTCTTGTATAGTGTACAATAAATAAGCACTGGTTGTAGATATTTCTGTTATAAACTACCCACTTTTCTTGTATAGTGTACAATATATTCCTCAAATCAGCATTTGGCTTATATCATGGCAAAATTACTATAATATTCTGTGAATAATGATCCTTATATACCAATATACTCTTTTACGAAAAGAAGGTAATAACATATGCTCTTAACCTACTTTGTATTAAATTATATGAAACACTTTGTTGCAAATCCTGTATTAACATTCAATTTGAATGTGATTTTCCATGTTTTGTATTTTGTATTACTCGTCCTTTGTTCAGTGCAATGTTCTATATATAAGAATGGTGCCTGATTACAGTATGTATACCTGAAACTAAAAAACTTCTGTAATCATGACATCAGTAGAATTTTATGATATAGCTTTCAGTGTATGTATCTTTATTATTGCGACCGAGCTGTGAAAGGCAGTCAATATCGGTCCTCAAAATCAAAGTCTTCCATAACATTTGGGTGTTTATATGTTAAAGTAAGATATAATCGATGTTAACGAGAATATAGATCTACATCTCCTGTAAAATAGGTTTTAAAATAGCTCTTGGTTGTAGTTTACGGAGTTGATCTAGAAAGCTGTAGCGAGTTATATGGGGTGATAACATAGATTATAATGAACTTATAATAAAAGGTGTAATATTTAAAAAATTAGTGGATGTCTGAGACAAAGCTCATTTTTTTAAGCACAAGTAAGTTGACAGAAATAGAACCTATAATCTGTTATTGTTTTTTAATTCAAACACATTTTTCTAACAACACTTAATACTTTTGAAAAGTAAGTACTTATAAGTGAACGACACAAAATTTTAGTAATCCGATCCTTCTTTTAAACGACATGAAACATATGTCATGTTCAGAACTCGAAATCCAAAATGACGTAGTTCTGTGCTAATAAATACATATACTCAGGTCACCATTCGCTATTGGATTGTTTTCATCAATATAAAATAAAGAGGACATGTCATAACGATATAGTTTGGCTACGCCCCTGCTGGGATGATGTGGCCAGTTGCGTAGTGGTGGATACGTGAAGTGTGGACAGTGTGTTTTCATGTATCAAACGTTTAGAAATAAATGTTATTACATTTGTTAACGTAACTTTCGGACAATGTAGATTTGATTAGAGTTGAGCTGCGTAACTTAGGGAACTGCATTCGGGAAAAAATTGTTTTTAGGGGAAACTAAAGTGAGCTCTAACATTTAATTATTGTGATCATGAAATAAATAGCATGCAAAGTCACATAAACCAATTTACTTAACATTGCCGTAACTTTCAAATATATGGATCAGGCCACTTAGAAAAATAAAAGAAACTCCCGAGGAAACAACAGACGAAAGTTCATTTTACAATTTCTTTTCTTTGAGGGCTGTGAGTTTCTTACCGCATACTTTCGATTGATATTTCTTCAAAGTATAAACGAAATGAATTAGTGTAAAGTACAACTTTAGTGTTCAAATTTCAGGCTTAAGTAGAAGAATAATGTTTGTTCAGTTGAATATCTTGTGAAATAAAACTATTGATTCACAATTAATGCATGAACCTCACTGGAATTTAAACCGGTCTTACAGTTCTAAAGAAACCTATTGTCCAGAAAAACATAGCCTTAATGATTCTTAACATGTTTAGTTTAAACTTACTAACCTCAATTGACATATATATAATTTTTCTAAGTCGATACATTAAAGCAGCATTTTGTAGATTTTAATATCAAAGCATAGTGTGAATAATATTTCTCCTTGTTCTAGATAAAAGAAGAAATACAATTAGGGTATACATATCATGTGAAAAGGTCTGTTTTATAGTTATACAATACAGACTGTATGAATAAAATTACAAAATTAATTAACAAAACGAACAATTTATTCCTTGTTATTTTCATTTGTTTCAACGTTAGTAATTTATATGCTGTAATGATAAGTATAACCAAAGTTACTTAAGTTCCATTTAAAGATCTTAGTTGTTTATCTTCGTGTTCCCCAAGTTATTATCCTGGTTCAATTATGCGTTATAAACATGAGCAAAATGTTTCGTGTAAAAGCTAAGTGAAAAACATATTTTTGAAACTAGTAGCTAAAATATAATCTATTATTTTAACTTTTGTGTTCTTATGATAATATTTTTTGTCTTAGTTGTTCGATAGATGGCGTTATATTTAAACGTATATATGTATTGTGGTGACATAGGAGCGCTGAATTCAAAAGATATTTCGTGTAGCTAATGTGTCTTGACTTGTGGACCCCCAGTGACTCGGAGGTAGGTCTGCGGGCTTATAACGCTAAAAAACAAATAGTCCGTTGTGTAACTTTGAGCCTAACAACAAACAAACAAAATGTTGATTTGTGTTTCTTTATGTAAAACTATATTAAAATGTTCTGTAGTACACTACGATTGAAATTATGTGTGATTGTAAATCTCACGTTATATATATACTGGTGTTTATCTCGTCGTAATTGATATTTTTGTTTTGCTTACTTCTCTGGAAATAAAAATTTATGAAAGCAAGCAATAAACATTAAAATCATCTGTCTTTGTTCTGGCTCTTCATCCAACTATGCTTGGTTATTAACGTCAGAGAATACAAACAGGAGTAAAATTTTATATTTAGCTTTTACCTTATTGTTGATGAATAGTTTAATTATATGCATTATTTCACAGCTTTATGTTAAAATAAACAATTGAAGGGCTCTCTTGCGAAGAATATCGCTTTTGCAGTCACACCTGAATAAAAAAAAAACTGTTGAACGGATCAAAACATGAGTCGTCCACTTTTTAGCGTTTTCTGGTGATGATGACTTAGGTGAAAATTCTTATTGGTCAAGAAAAGTGTTTATAAACATTAATGATAATATGTCATTCAGAACTCCTGTCACACAAATTAACAATAGATACATTACCCATTCGTTTGTTTTTGTACTGAAAGAATGGTATAGAAGAAGTTTCCTTCACAATTAATACAAATATTTTCGCTTGAATTACAAGTGTGTACAATTCTTACAAATTTGAATATTTCCTATTCCAGAACCCCATTCCTCTAGTTTCTTCAGTTTAGTAACTAATACTCCATTATATTCCATGAACATCATCCCCCTTCACTTTTAAACAAAATTTGAAGATAAGGGATCAAGGACCAGAAAATTAATATATTTTGGGCTTTCTGCTGTGCCCTCCGCGAAGAATCGAACCCCGGATGTAAGCGTTGAATGTGCAAACTTACTGCTTTCCCAACAGAAGACAAAAAAAAATTTGCTCTTCCAATAGATTTAGAACTTTAAAAGCACCGTCATATTAAATTCTCACTTTGGGTAACTTCAATATAGTGTAAGCGATGCGAATTTTGAAAGAAAACGAAAAAGTTAATTCAGTTCATCTACACCCATGTTTATAATTTTATATAGTAAACATCTTTGTCGTACGAACACAAATTTCTTAAAAATGTGTTTTTAGAGGAAAGCGTAGAAGTGATACGAGTCTTTTACTTGATACAAATGTGCTATTCCACGACTATGATGTTTAGCTAAATGACATCACGCAAAGCACATCTTTAATCAAAAGAGTAAAAAGTTATTCAAATAAATGGTTTGTTTATTAATAAGTGGGAGAAACTGGTTAAAGCACGGATATTATAATCCTTTAACACTGGAAGTTAATTTAAAAAAACAAGAAATTAGTCGATATAGATAATATAAACAGTTTCATAAAAATTAATGTGTAATAATTATTTTACGTAAACTCGTAAATCTCCCAAACAAATTAAGATGAAGGTACAGTCTAAACTAGAAAAAACATTTCTTACGTACAATGATATAATCTGTAACATTATCAGGATGTTTGTTCACCAGATTAAAACGTTATTTTTAAAGTTGGTTGTTTTCTGATTACTAGCTGAAAGTTCACATACATATATTCTGCCGTACCATACCTACTGGTTCACCCAACATGATATACAAGGGAACTCAATGATAAATACAAACCACATTAAATAGACTGATAATAAAATCGAATATTATGCAAGATGGAAAAAAAAAAAGGCAAGAATTAAAGTAAAGCATTATGAAAAAAAAATCAGTAAATCAGTAACAATCATTGGTTTCACACAAGCTACTGTGAATAAGGCCATTCTATGGCATCATGAACTTTAAAATGGTGATCTCTCCCTGATGACTCAGCGGTAAAGTCTGAGGGATTAGAACACTAAATGTTGGGGTCTGATACCCGCTATTGGTAGAGCACATACAGCCTGTTGCGTAGCTTTGTGATTAAGAACAAACAGTTTCATAGTGCATATAATTTTAAAAAAAGGTGGATTATTTAAAAGTACCACGGGAACCCAACAAGATTTTACTTTTTAGAACAGTGAAATTATCAGAAATCGTTTCTGCAACAAATTTGTAATGATTGTATCCCATGGGTATCACATGAGAGGTCGTGCTCTCAATAAACGTGGGTACTTTGAAATTACTAGTATATAAATCCCGTACCTCACTTCAAGAGTAGCCAGCACAATTTGTGTAAAACTGTATTTTTCAAGGCTGGTTGTACATTTTAAGGAGTGAAAAAGGCACTTGACATTGTTTCAATGTTTCATCAGGATAATGTGGTATCAACTTTGCAAGATAAACTACAAATATTCCCAAAAACAAATTAGATTTTCCAGAGTAAAAACTGTGGACAAATAACTTTTTTGTCTGCAAATCCTCACGTCAGTGAAAACATCTGTAACACTTAGATGTTCGTGAATGTAGTAAATAATTAAACAGAAAATAACAAAGATAGCTAGTTGGCTGCATTGAAAGTGTTAAGTATTTTTTTATAAAATATGCTACACTACTTGTTTCCTTCTCAAATTAATGAATTTTGTCATCTTGTATACAATTTCATGCCAATAACTCACCTATTTGATGTCTGTATTTATGTCCACTGAGCTACCTGCATGTGAAGAATAGAGAGAGTAAAAACACAAGATTAGTAGAGCAAAGTAAGCAAGGCTTGAAACTGATGAGTAATGAACAGTGAAGACACAACTTCTAAACAAATATTTGAATTTACATTAAAGGTATGAAAAGTCTAAAATGAAACTGAAGTGTAACTTTTTTAGCATCTATTTTTCATGTTGAAAAACTGAATTCTTAAAAACAACTTTTTTGAATATCTATTTATTCTTTACACTTAATTTGACATAATTTCAGCTGATCTGTACAGGATGCTATGGATCTTAAAATCTGATTTGTAAAATTTGTAATATAAAAATCTGTTTCTATCACCTAAGACCATTTATTTTTTTAACCTTTTTTAACAGCATAACTTTTTTTTTCTAAATATATATATAAAGAATATTCAAGGTTGCTTTACATATTTTAGATTAAAATAATATCTGCTTTATTTTTCAAGTATCTAGACATCCAAAAGATATTTTTCCAACACCTATTACAACTTTTCTAATGTTATTCAACTGCATCAAATATTATCATCAATTTATTAAAGAATAACATGAAATCTCAACATTATAGAACAAGATGCACGAAAACATAAAATATTACAAAGCTAGAACTTTGACACAATAAACAATACAATAAACAATTAAAAAACACAATATTCTAGTTTCCCACATTTCTACTAATGACTCTCAATACAATAGAAAAAAAATTGTAAGAAATTAAGGACTTCTTTTGACACTACAAAGTAGATTAGATTAGAAACACAAGTGTAGAGTTTGCACACTGCTCTAATCACGTAAAAGTCCTCTACACTTGTGTTTCCACAGTTAATTGCTGTCCATTTAATTAAATTTCATCATGAATATTCTGCCTAAACAATCTATCAAAGAAGTCGTCTTGAACCAAAGATATTTTCAAATTGTATAGGCTTTACACGTGCACATCCATTTATCTGTGTTGGTTACATTAGAATCAATCATCTGTTTTAATAAAAACAAGAAACAAATAATTTATTAACCGTGTGCCACTGGGTGACGTTAAACAAATTTATTAAATTATTTTCAATGTTTCTGATTAAACACCAAACAAATCTACAAAGATAAATGTACGGTAAAGAGTGAAATTCACTTAAACATTGTCAAATACCTAAATCAAGTAAACCTTAAAAAAAAATTGAAGCTTGTTAAGTAACTAATTCTGGCATGTAGAAAATTCAAGATTTCATAACTATAATGCATTTGGAAATGCTACTAGCCAAACAAATTACACATAAAACAATAAAATTAAAAAATAATAACTGCATAAAAATGAAAAAGTGAAATTTCTTATTTCAAATAACAGAAACTAAAATGAACAACACATGTCGTATCTAATACACATTTAAGTATCCCTTTGAAGTAAACTATTTTAACCACAATATATATATATATACAGAACACAGTGGAATAAAAGGTTAATCTGAACAACTGCGACTTGAGGTGAAGCATTTTTCACAGAAACTAGTCTTAACCAAAATCATTATTCATTAAAAATGCAAATTTCTTGCTTTGAAGTAAAACTAACGAATCACTTAAAAGGATAAATGTCACTCGTACTACAGGAATCAAATCCAAATTCTACTGTTATAAGCCTTAAATCTTATATCTTAACTGTTGACCTACTTGTGTGTGTGTGGGGATCTTACTCGTACTAAGAAAGTAACACATGAAAGATAAATGAAAAATAAAACATGTTAGTATTTTTGGATTTTATATTCAAAACCTTGTACCAAACCCTCGCAATTCAGCAAATAAACTTCCTTGGGTGTAGACAAGCATTTCTGGAAAATATATTATTTCATACCAAACTGAGATTATATTCCCATATATATCAAAATCTTTCATTTTGTTGTGGTTTTCATGTTTGTGTGAATGGGTAAAAACATCACAAACTAAACTAAGAGCATGACACACACACACACACACACTTATAAATACAATCCTCTACACTGTTTTTTGAACCTATTAACTGTGTATGAATTTTTAAAACAAAAACAAAACATCAAAATACAAAATTCATAAATGTTCAGGCCAAGTAATCTTTGTTTTTCTATAAAAGATAATTTTCATCTTTTATATTTCTAATTTTGCACAAGCTAATTATTTCATCAGACATATTACTAGGAAGTGTGTAGTTTATCTGAGAAATATTAGTATACAAATATGTGCATGTTTAAATTTTGTTTATCACAATAGAAGTATCAGAATAATAAATAGTTTATGCATTATCCCAAAAAAAAAATCCTTACTCATTTTCAATGTTCTCAACAATCTGAAATACTTTTCTGACTGTGTGCAAATTGTAGTTTGAATCCATTAGTTAATGAAATATTTTGGATTTTTCTTTTCTGTACAGCATTCTACAATTGTCTTTAATATTTTATTTAAAAGTAATAAAGTAATTAACATTTTTCATTTGTCAGATCTTTGTCAATTCAAGATTTGCTGATTACTACCAAACTCCTAAAATGTATATATTGTTATATTGCAAGCTAAGTAGTGTGAAACAGTAAACATCTGAAGACAAAATACAAAAGGTAGATCAAAACTTAATTTTAAATTTATCTTTCTAGCCCTATCTTACCACTTCAGAACTATGAGCTATGGTTGAATATTGATACAATATGAAAAACAAACAGCCAATAAAAGAAAATAGCACTTGCTAAAATGTAAAGGAAGAGACTCAATTTTAGCTAAAATGCTTAAAATTAGGAGTATTCTGTAAATAAGATTAACACACAAGCCTACAGTTGACATAGAGTCACGGTGGAATGGCATGTATCAAAATTGCATTTTGACATTGTTTGGTAGGTATTGTGATGGCACCAAAAATTGGTTATTTTTTGAAAGATTATGTAACAGCCTGTTTGAAGAAAAATATTCATACACTCAGATCATAAAGATGTGTTCAGATTGGAGATTTATAATTTTAAAGATAGAGATATTCCTTGTACCTAATGGTATTGGAAAACAAAGGAGCTTGAATCAACTTAGGGCACCAGGACCATCCAGAAAGAGTTTCACAATGAGTTATACCACATGGTAAACAAAGTATTGTATCTTGTAACAAATGAGAATACATGAAACAAAAGATTAATGACAATAAACTAAACATAAGCCTGGATTGAAAACATCTATGAACAATGCATCCTGGGACTAAACCCATAAAAGTCAGCGGCTGCCTAAGCCCCCTCAGAAACTGTAAGCTTCTAGATGTTCTGTTCTGCTGTATAGGCACATTTTGAAGCCTAATTGATAGTTCATTTAAGAGTATGAAAACTGAAATAAAACATCCACAAAACAACAAAATAAATATATTCATTCATTTCATCATAATTTTTATATGTTTGGAAGGAACTATATAAAGTGACTACGACTGGTTTATTTTTTTGACAGCTGGCATAATTGATAATCATCATTAGTTTAGTCCTTCCTGGTATAAATTAATGTTACTCAATATTTTGATTGATATTGGGATACATAGACTAGATAGGCCTAAGTCACTGACAATAGGGTTAACTTCAGAAATTAGATGCATCACCAACTAGTCACAAACTCAGTAAAGCGCACCCCTCTGCCTCGCAACGTTAATCATATTCTGCTCTCATTTCTGCATCATTACCAATGGACATGAATCATTTTTAGCAGGACAATGAATAATATTCTACATGCATTCAAAAATCACAGAAGTTTCATGAAAATACAATCATTTTTGACTGAGTTATACAGCAAAAATAGTGTGAAAAATCGATCCCCGTGTTAACAGATAGGGATTTTTTTGGATTTTCATGACCTGGTTGTGACCTTCACCCTCCAAAAACTAATCGCTTCTAAGTTAAGTCATTATCCAAAAGGTATACCAACTTTCGTCCAAATCCATTCACTCATTTTCAAGAAAACCTGCTGACAAACACTCAGGGTTGAAAACATAACTTCTGTCCACCTTTGATGCCGGAGATAGTAACAGCAATATGCTATGCAGTATTGCACCTGGACCTACAGTAGATCTAGTGCTTACAAGAAAACTTTATTTTAGTACATTATGATCCGTTGTTTTGTATGTGTGTGTGTGTGTGTGTGTATATATACCTTTCTAATGAAGTCATCCAGAATCCTCTGAACAGAATCACTTTTCCATTGAGATTTAGACAATATAGACTTCCAGCCACGATTCCTACCTCATTAATACTTATCACTTAAGCTCAATCTATTTATGGTACACATATGCCCCAAGCAAAGAAAACAAAATATGTATTTATAAGTAAAATACACATGTTTACAGGAACTAAAATGCAAAACTTTTAGAATATCATTCCACAGAAAATAAAATTTGAGGAATTCCACAAAATCATAGAAAAAAGCTTGTCTGATTACCATCCACATGTCCCATGAAACAGTACACAGCAAAATCAAAATAGATCTTTGTTGGAAAACAAGGCCAAAATGGTATGGGTTCAACAAGGCTTCCAGTCATGTGTGATTGAACTGTTGCAATGTTTGCTGGGAGACTGCTGTTCTTATACACTAACTGGAAAGCTTGTACAAGAAGAAATGATGCACTTTGGACTTTACAGCTTTACAACAACTTTTTGCAATGAAAACTATGCTGCATTGCTATGGTCAAGATGCACAGTCGTCAGATAGAGCAAGACTGAACAGGGTGACATGATTTAACATTACATAGAGGCTCCAAAATCATTTTCATACAACATACTCAATTTTCTTATTTATACAACATATAAGATAATTGAATAATACATCAATTCCTAAAAGACTTGAAATCAACAATTCTTTCTTTTTTATTTATAAATAGAATTGTGAACCAATAGGGCCAATCATCAAGTTTTCAGGCTTAACTCACTATAAAATTGGAGCTACAAGACGATTAGGAATTTAGTTAAGTATTTAACAGTCACATGAGGAGGCTAAGAAGTACAAATGCTACTCACTAGGGTGTGCTATTTATCACTTTTCTATCATATAATTAAAGCAGCTTTTGCATATTTTTCTCTGAAACATTTATTTGATGATGATAATATATATTGTTTGGAAAGTCCTACAAATAATTTACTTTATCACTTTTCTTCATTTATTAAGAAGTAGATGTCTTCTTACTGTCCCAAATATTTTCCCAAAATGTTGAGAGGAAAATAACAATTTCTCAGTCAAGAAGGTACACAAATGGCTGTAAAGAAATTATACAGAGGATTAAGTAGATTATATTAAAATATTTTGATTATGCAAATCAGCAAGTCATGTGACAACCACAGCCCATATAAAGTCACAGTGGAACATAATGTATCTACATGTAGCTACATTTTCACACTGTTTGGCATTTCATAGGTAGTGTGATACCACTAAAATCTGATGTCTTTTGAAAAGGGTACATAACATCCCTTTTCAACACAAAATATTTATATACTCAGATCACAAATGTGTGTCCAGATTGTGGATTTAGAATTTCCAAGCTAAGGATATCATTTGTACTTGATGGCACAGAAAAACAAAAGAATATGGATCAACTTGAAGCACCAGGACCATCCAAAAAGAGACTTGTAACAAATTATACCCCAACCATGGTAGGCAAAGTGTGGCATCTTTTAACAGGCGAGAATTCAGTAACACAAAGGTCAGTGGCAAAAGCCATCCATGTGCCCTAGGCAACAGTGTTCAACATAATCAAGAAAGATTTCCATTTGGAAAAGGGATTCAAGTTTGGTGTAATGACAAAAAGTATATACACAATCACAGAGGCCATTCATCATTTACAAATACCAATATAACACCAGAAATATCTAATTCAAGGTTGATCAGTAAAATCCTTCAGTCATTTTTCCATTGGATTTTACTTTCAGTATCAACAAGAACACTTTACCTTTCTCATTTAGAAAATGTATAACAAAGCCAAAAAACTAGTGATGAAAAAAAAAAAGCATGTTCCTCCAAAATAAATATACATTTTAAATTAACTACTTGGTCATTGTGCTGAGGTCTCACAATTCCATTCCAGGTACTTTTATTTACATGTACTTCTATGCATACAAAATCTTAAATCCAAATAAAGTCTCACAAAAAATGTCATTTATGTTTAAACAAGAAAACAGAATAAAAGCAAAATATTAATGATATAAATATATATGTAAACACAATAAAAACATGCAAAAAAAGAACAGGTTTAAGTACTTCAAATTAAAACAATTAGATTTTACAGCCTAAAAACAAGAGTATCATAATCTTTTGGAAGAAATGAAAACTGCTAATACGCCATTAATTTTGCCTGATGCAATGGGTGATACAAGAACAATAGAAATTATATTGCTTCATACACAAATAATCCAAATGTGAAATTCCAAAAACAATCAAGACAGTTTGTTTTCTCATTATGATTTATATTGTTAATTAACAGTTTTCTGTAATAATCTCTTTAAAGTATGTCCTGAATGACAAAAATGTATAGACAACATATAATGTAACTAATACAACAAAATTCAACACATTTTGGCCAAAAATAAATCTGTGATAAATATAACCAACATACCAATATATATATATATATATATTACTAAACAATACATTTGAGCAATTTATGATGTATTTTCCTTAAATATTTTGTATTTAATAACTTATAGAAGAGAGACTATTATATTAATTTTTTGTACACTAGTTTTCAGTACAGCTACTATTAAATACATAATTCAGTGTTTCTAAAACTATTTAATAACAAGCAGAATTCTGCTGAGGAGTGAGAGACATTTTTGCTTTCACTGATTACTTAGTGGTTTTATTCTATTTTACTTGCTAATCACGGTTTTTATATTGAGGTGATTCTGTTAATGTATTGACGATTAAAAACAACTTAAATTATGTCCTTTATCACACCCTTAAATGTAGAAGAATACCTTACCATCACTGATAATTAAGCATCGCTTTATCACACATATCTAAATTTGTGTGCAAACTTATGAACTACTAGAAATGATGTTGAAATGTTAATGTTTTACGATGTGCATCTGGTTACAAAATGCTAATAAAGCCATTCCAAGTTCTGAAATATTATTACAGATTTGAATCATAATAATAGGAATTGAAAGTTCACCTAGATGCAAGCTTTAAAATGTCATTTTCCTTATATGCACTTTGATGACCTGGTAACTCTCTATCATTAGTATTAATCACAACTACTGTCACACCTCTCATTTTAACATGAAGAAATAAAGGGTCTATATATAACACCCTCATAAAAATTTATCTTGTAATCGGAACAAAATCTTCCATTTGTGCTGTGTAATCAATACCTCCTTTAACAAGCAGACTGAACAGCTTTCAGTCATCAGCACAGTTTGTATCAAGTCTGACATGAATTTAATAAACATGCTTACCATTGATATGCTAAATGTTTTAATAATTACTCCTTATAAAAATTAAAACCCCATCACTGCATCTACTTGCTATAAATTTATTACATTTCTTCAGCTATTTCCTCTTAATTACACCTAATGAATGCTAATAAAATCAGAATATCAAAGGTAAAATTTATTTTCACTGTATGCAAGTCAAAGGGTGATTTTTTTTTGCCACTGTAGGTTTGATAGGGGTTTTGATGAATGGTTAAGCTATTGCTGATTAATGGAACTTATCACTTAATTACATTATCATAAACAGAACATTCAAAGCCACAATATTTAACACACAGATTCCTAAAACTTACAAAATTAAAGGCATTATGTCAAAAATATAGTCTTTTTTTTAGTAATTCTGAATAAGGTAATTTATAAGTTTTAGTATTAAGAACAGTAAACATTTTTTTACTAATAATGTGGAGTATAAACCAGATGTGTTGTAAAATGAGATATTTGTAATTTGTAGATTTATTCTAGTGTGTTTTCCACACAATAAACATTGACACTTTTCCATTCTATATTTTGAAGTATTTTCTATGTCTTACATTACAGTTATGAAAAATGTTGTTCTGGTGTAGTCTAAATCTTCAATATATTTGTTTTAATATGTTCATTAAAGTATATAATTTTTTTATCATCTGGAAACTACAAGAATGTATTAAACATAATTTCCAATCCCAGAAACATCTAAGTGTGACAGGTTTTTCTTCCACTTCTTATTTCTGGTTAAATCTCAGTCTGGGAAATATTTTTCTATAAACTGGTTTAAATTCATCACCTCACCAACTCCCGTTCCAGCTTTCATGCTGATGAATTCTTCCAAGTTGTTGGTGCTTTCTATTAACAGAAAGTTAGTCACAATTTAATCATATAGTACAAAATACTCTAAAGATATAATTACTTGCTTTTAAACTATCTCATACGTCTATTCACTGTAACACTTATATAGTGCTAATACCAGTAACACAATAAATCCATGATAATAACACTCAGTTTTTTGTCTGTTCCGAAAATATGTGTGCACCTCATTTTGATGGATGTAGATATACTTTAGTAGACACTTTGTACAACATATTAAAAGCTTATACAAGTTTTAAAAAAAATGTAATGTTAAGTAATAGAATAACATTATAAGTTGATTTACTGATTATGTTGTCAGTTTTATAGGGCCAGGATTCTTTACAATACATGCCTGTGACTTGTTGGCGATAAATGTCAACGATAAACGGACAGCACACAATCCACTTGATTTCAAATAATATAGTCAAAACAAGTCAAATGTGTATACAAAAATTTGTTTCACTATTGGTTATCAAAATTGTATTTAAAGCTTTAAATAATTCTCTTTCTTGTCAAAAGTCCACACAGGCTAGTTCAGTTACTTTAGAACCCAACTAACAAGAGAAACTATTTTTCTGTACTCTCTTTCTCACTGCACAATCTGCAACAGATTCACTTACATTAACCCATGGGTTATCACAGTTATGTCCAGAATTTCAAATAATTGTCTCCTTTTCATCAAAGTCCACATAAGTGGGTTGAATTATTTTGGAACACCCTTTGACAAGACAAATTATTCTCCTTTATTTCTGTTATTACAATACCACTGTGAAACTCACTTTAAATATTGCCTGTTATGACTAAACTAATAATCATGCAGTCAAACTTCACTTTCACTAACTTAAAGTTTTCTGACTTAACTTTAACTTCTTTAGAAATCACCTGTCACAGCTAAATGCCAATCACTCAGTCTAGATATGTCTAATTATCTCTTACTTCTTGTTTTCTTGACTTCCTCTTTGTATCTGCATGCATTTATAACATGCAACAGAAAAAGCCTAGAAATAGCTAACCCTTTAGTGACAACAATATTACACACAATGAGAAAAACTTGGAAGCTTCAAGTAAGACGACATAAACAATTAAACTGCATACACAATGTACGATTCATACCGAGTTATGTAAAATAAATTTGTCACAACTATTGCTTTTAAAATAATCAACTTTTAACACTTTTGATTATTAAATGAACTAAATAATAACTTACACTAAACAGTCTTGTATATCCAACATAAGTACAGTCAAGTTTAGATCTAACTAAACAAAAACAAAAACATACACAAGTTACAGTGTTAATTTATCTCTTTAACGAATATAGGTTGTACTTAATAAAGGCTTGTGTTAGGCTTAAGACAAATGGACTAATAGGTTTTGGTGTCTGCAATTAAGAATTCTTTTGTATTTCTAGAAATTCTGTATTTAAAGAAGTACTGTTGCAATAAAGATGCTAATTTGACTGCAAATGTTTTGCAGGTTTCTGCTAGTATATTAAAATAACACACAAAGGATGAGTACACAATACTGCATATATTAGTTGAAATTAAGCTAAATTCCACAACTTCTTGGGACTTTGCCACAAAGACCTAAAATTTAATGTAATGGAGGTTTTTGTACAAGTTCCAAAAAAGTGTTTGATTTAATATTAAAATTACTTAAAAATGTTAGAAAAAGTAATTATGATGATAATGAAACAGTAAGAGGTTCTTATTAGAGTCACTTGTATTCCATGCATAATATCTGCTAGAAAGTTCTTAAGTGTGTGATTTGAGAATTAAAAATTTAGCATTTAATAAAAAAGTGCATACTGTACAAAAATAAGCACTAGCAAGTAGTTAAAAACTGTCCAATATTTCACTGATTGTTGGATGTCATTTTCCAGGGATTGCCAACAGTAATCAAAATGATAGTCAAGGCTACCAAATATTAAATAATTAACTGCTAAATGGATTATCAAAATGTACAAAAACAAAGCAGGTGTTATACACATAGGTAAGGGAGGTTTGGCCAGGATTCAATAATTGTTTTTAGTTTTGTACGATATGTCAACCTTAACTCTTTCCATATAACCTGGGTCAAATTGCCCATGTCATGACATTTTACATTCAAAATTTAATTAAACAACTTACTTTATCATCATTGTACATCAACAAACATGACAGGTTAACTATCATCAAATGATTGAGAAATTTTACCTTCCTGAACTACACAAACAGTTTTGGTGAAGAAATGGAGGTATCTACATGAGAACACATTGGTTTCAGGAGTAACTCCTTGTACAGCCAGGTAAACATGGTGTTACCTTCACAAAAAATTCCTAGACTAATTAATTTCTCTTTATGAGGATGTGAAATGGCCTCCATATTCACCTGACTTCTTCCCTCCAGACTTCATTTTATGGGGTTATCTAAAAGACAGAATTTATGCTAAACCCAAGCCTTGGACTATTAATGAGCTCAAGGACAATATCTGCCAGGAGATTTGGAACATCCCCCTACAAACATTCTCTGAAGTGATGAACAATACGGCAGTCCAAATGCAGGCTGTTATTGGTAAACGTAAAGCCTACATTGAAGATGTGGTGTGAAAAGGGATATGGAACATAAACTTTTATCATTTGTCTTTTAAATAAGTACATTCATTATTTGGTACTCACCAGATTTTATACTTATTTGGGTCACATTAAAATATGTAAATCTTTTTGGACACCCTATATTTTTATAATACCTACGTTTTAATATTTGAACTTATAAAATAGGCTGCTGCAGTTTCCAAGCAGTTAAAAACACAAACTATACATAATTACTAGCAACAATCTAAATTTTGAATCTCTAATCTTTTTTATTGCAGAGATATCAACAAGTTTCTCAAACCTACCAGAGAAGCCCCTCCCTATCTCTGACTTTCAAGATTGTTTGCAAATTAACATTACATAGCTGATGGACACGGTTATAACAAAGAAAGAGCAAATTCTACTCTAAGTTTTCCCACCATTATTATTTAGTTGATGAGAATTGCTTAGTTTGTGTTGATCAGATTTGGTTAGTTAAAAAGCCAGATAAACTTATCTAAGATTTTGATACTTTAAAAATTAGTATTAGCTCAAACATCAAAATAAGAAAATACTGTAAATTAAAAAAAAAGTTTACCGTTATCTAGTTTGGTTCAAACATACAAAA